TATGCATACGGAAATTTATAAAGAAATTGAAAAGATAAGAAGTAAAGAATGGGAAGTGTTCTTTGAAAAGGTGCCATGCTCAACTGATACAAGAAGCGTTAATGTAAAATGCAAACTATGTGATCAAAATCCATATGATATAAAGCTTCGACTATACATGCGTTGCGATACTATGGAAACACATTTAAAATACGTACATAACGTTACGGTAAATGAATGGAGAGATCTTAAAAACTAGCGAGACGCGATCCTAACCGAAACGTATTATGACCTGATTGAGGAATATGAAGATCAAAAGATAGAATCGATCAAAAAAACAAAAATGTGTAAGAAATGTAAACATAAGTTTCCATATAGTAATCTATGCATCATGCTCAAGCATTTTATTCAATATCATCCATCCGACATTACCTTCGGACGCGCTTCACCTTCGAAACTATATTTACCTTTGGATATACTACCAAACGGGTAAGAAAACGGCAAAACTCAAATTTTATTAATTTACCTATTTTGAATCATTTATAGATACTATTGCATGATAATAACAAAAGAGAATCATGGATATAAAACTATAAAATTCATATATTTAGCACACACAGTATGTATTTACGATAAATATTTGGTATATATATTTGAGTCAATTTAACTTATTATTAGGTGTTACCGCATAAAAATATTTATATATTACATATATAAATAAATATAAAATTTATTAGTTTAGTATTTCGATAATTGAGAGAGAGAGAGAGAGAGAGAGAGAGAGAGAGAGAGAATTTGTGAAACTTTATGTAAATATAAATTGTGAATATAAGTATAAAGAATTTCTTTTTAAATAATCGACCGAAAATTTTGGTTTTTTGATATCAAATTTTTAAGAATACTCAAGTTTTTGATAATATTTTAATAATAAAAGTATTTTTTGACATTAAAAAATAATAGTTGAAAAATTTAGTGATATATAATTGAAGCTATATTTTATAGTATTAATTAATACAATTATTTTTTATGTTCTAACAGATTACTTAAATCGAATGAGATTGAAGCTATTGTAAATTCTGATGATGCAATGAGGAGCAGCAGTCCATCAATATCTGGTCGATCTGATGTCCTGTCCAGTCTGATGGAAGATATTTATGACTTGTATATTAATTATTGGTCAACAGAAGATGTAGATGCTGCACCGACCATGAATCCACAGTCACCAACATCTGACCTTTTTGATAGCAACCTTCAAGAACTTATCAATGAACGCTGTCAAGAGTTACAATCATCATCTCATCATTCTGATGACCTCCTTCCGATGCAAGAACATGCCAGTTACAAGGAAACTGATAATTCGCCAACAGAAGATGTAGATGCTGCATCGACCATGAATCCACAGCCATCAACATCTTCTGGCCGTTTTAAAAGCAGCTCTGGAAAACCTTCCAGGAAAATCAGTCAAAATGCAAGCAGTGACGAAGATGATTAGTGATATTGCACGAAGCAACACCATAACATCGCTTCAACATCTACACACACAAGTTCGGCCTCTAGATTTGATTTCTGATATTTTAGTATCATTATATTGTAATCAAGACACTCGATGTTCTCCTGTTTATATTATTGAAAGTATTGAAAAACAATGAAAACAATGAAAAGAATTTTTAACATTCAAACCATTGACATCTGAATAGATAGACGGAACATTAACTATCGATTAAGACGAGAAGGGCTTTAATCGCTGATAATCGCGGTAATGGGGAATTCTATGAACTTCAGTTGAATTAGGTTACTCCCGATAATGAACGGTTAATAATTCGACTCCAACTTCTTTCATTAACATCAAAGTTCTGCTCACATGCATTGTGCGAAGTTGTGTTGTGACTAATGTTATATTATTTTTATATTTATTTATATTATTTAATATATAACATATATATTAAATAATATTAATAAATAATGTTAATAATATAAATAAATAAATAAATAAATATATATATATATATATTTATTTATATTTATATATTAAATAATATATATAAGTAATATATATATATATATATATATATGTATACATACATACATACATATACATGTGTGTATATATGTATATTTTATATATTATTTAATATTATTATTGTCATATTATTTTTATATTTAACGACGTTAGCGATTTTCTTCAAATAAACACTCTTTAAACATTTCTGCGAAAATCTAGTTGAGAATCGATGATGTCAATGGAATCGTCATGTAATGTCAAATTGTGCCGAATAGTCGAACGCTCACGGAATTAACCGAAATTCATGCACTCCCCCTTTACTGCAATTATCAGTTACTTCTATCAAAAGGTTCCGTCTGTCTATTCAGATGTCAATGATTCAATCAGACTTATAAATCTTGAAGGAGATGATCAATATCGTAATATCGCTACACATCAATTAACCATCAGCAGTTAATTTAAACAAAATTCTGATTTTGATTAGATCATTGTTTTTGATAGCTTTCATGAGTTTGATTTGTTAAAACATTAAGAATAAGTGAGAGAATTAATGTGTTCTTGATGAATAATCATTTTTTTGTGCCATTATTTTATCTTTTAAATATAACATATTCATAATTGTATCCATTGTTTTTGACGAATATATAATTTATTAATATCATCTATTTATCAAGCAAAGATTTTAAGTTTTTATATTGTTTTATATTGTTTATATCATTTATATTTATAATTTATTAGATATAGATACAAACACAAACACAAACACAAACACAAACACACACACATACACACGCAAGCACGCACGCACGTATATATACACACGCGCGTGCGTGCTATACACATCATCATACACACACACACACACACATATATTATGATCTATTATTAATTCTAGAAGAATAGTTTTTTAAACGTATTGCATGAACAAATATATTTATAAATCAGTAGATTTTTGTATTCAATTTGTAGAAAATTGTATCAAAAGTGTAGTAAAAATAATGTAAAATTGATGTAAATATTTAAATTAAATGGTATTTTTGATAAGCATAATATTGTACCTTTTTAATTTATAATTATTCCAATACGCACTTAAAAGTTTTTTACATATGTATAATATTCGATTAATATATTTATTTCTTCTTATCATTATAATGTTTTATGCTTTGATGGAACTAATTTCGCTAATTTCAAACTATTTTGCGGTTTTTAGTCATGTCTATTGTAATACTTACGATTGTGAAAATTTTTATAGAATATTTTTTTAATTGATGATTATTATCGGCACAAAATTAGTAAACTAATAAGTTTAGTACCTAATTATAAAAATTAAGATACATTAGACAGATTTAGATAGAAGATTTAATGCTAAACTATGCGTATCCATATTTACATTTATATACAAAATTATTCATTTTAATCTGTTTCTTTTTTTTATTATCTTCTATAATCTTCATTATAAGTTTTCGTATTTATAGAGTACTTTATTCCCTTCGAAAGGAATATATATTTAAAAAATACATAAAAGTTCATCATATGTTATATTCATGATAGTAATATCTCAATAAAAAATTAGATATAACAATATGAGACAACATTAAATAACCTTGCTAATATTTTTCATTTAACCAATAAATATGAACATAATAACGTATTGCAACAAATTTTTGTAGATATGGGTAAATTGATATTATAGAAATTGAATATACACAATAATACTCAATGTAAAATTTACGATAAAACATTCTCCAAGAAAATAAATTTTTCAACATAATGAAGCATTTGATTGATGTACTCTTGTTAAATGGATGCACTTTTTAATTAAAATCAAATCCACAGCGATAAAATAATAGGAAAGGCAATACTAAATTTCATAAAAATATTATTAATTTATTTCTTTGAATTTCTCTTTGATATATACGTCATGTACATACATATGTATATAAAAATGCACCCCGTAGATGAAAATGACTTAACACATAAATTTAGATATCAATATGTACAGGGAAAACAACATATTACAATACATGCATAAATTAATGGGTTAAGGCTTTTCTATCTTCTTGTGTATATAAATCTATATAAAATTTAACCGTTATTTGCTCAGTTATTGCACAAATATTATTCAAAAGACAGACATGTCGCGTTTGGCAAAAATGTTGTAAATATTGGAACCAAGTTCGTTTAGCTAATGCTTTATCTAGATAAAACGATTAAAAAATGTCATTTAATTATAATTCGAATGTAATTCCCCACTCTCAATAATTTCTAAAATTGAAAAAATATAGAAATGTACATATGAGAAATCGAGTAAAACTTTTTTAATCGGAATAATAATTAAAGGCTTGAATTGTTACAAATATTTTAATTAAAAATTCTAGCAAAGTAATAATATTTATTTATTAATACAGAATGATTATAGAAAAATTGTTGATACAGAAATGATTATAGAAAAATTGTTAAATTGAGAATTTATTATTAAATTGAGAGTATGGAATCACAAATTTAATATTAATTATTGTATTTCTATTGTTTTAATCTTTATTAAATATACTTGAAAGGGAGATTATCGAAAAATTCAAGCTGAAAATTTAATAATAGGTTCAAAAATTCAATAACAGATATATAAATTTAAGAGCAAATTTTAAAAATATTATATTATCGATTTTAAGGGCGTTTATATTATAATTTTAATTTTTAACGGTTTTAATTATCCACAGTATAAATAAAAATATTAATATATTTGACGCGAATTTCTTCACCTACAATATTATAAAATAACATTATTAAATCAATATATACACAATATTATAAAATAACATTATTAAATCAATATATACATAAAACAGGCATGTTAGGCAGATTTAGAGAGTCTAGCAATATTTGTACACAATCATATCATATGTCTTTACGCGACCTTTCCTTCTTTCTTATAGACACCAGTTTCTATATTCTTCGTACTTTTCCTTAAATTCTCATTTTGTATTCAGTAATACACGAACTGTGATACATAGCGGATATCATGTCGACAGAACATGGAACGTCAAGATCCACCAAATATTGGGCATGGGATTATTTTTCGATAAAAGAAGACAGTATAAGTATATCCGTATGCGATATTTGTGGTACAGAAAAGAAGCATATAAAGTTTGTAAACGATATAAAAAACATGAATAGTCATTTATCTACTAAACATGAGGCTTTTTATAACGAAATTTTTAACAAAAAAAGAATCATTTGGGAATCGCATTTCAAAAGGGTGCCAACTAGTAAACATAGTACAAGAAGCATTAATATAAAGTGCAAACTATGTAAGTCAAATGATCCATATAAGATAAAGCTTCGAATATTCATAGCACCCAGAACTATGGAAACACATTTAAAAGACAAACATAACGTTACGAAAAATGAATGGGAATGTCTTCAAAACTGGCGAGACACGAACCTAACCAAAAAGTATTATAACCTGACTCAGGAAAAGGGAGAATTGATCAAAAGAACAAAAAAGTGTACGAAATGTGATCATGAGTTTCAACGTAGTAATCTGTGCATCATGCTAAAGCATTTGATCCAAGTTCATAACTCCGACATTACCTACGGATCCGATTCACCTTCGGATGAAAATAAACTACGTTTACCTTTGAATATACTACCAAAAGAGTAAGAAAAACGGCAAAACTCAAATTTTATTAATTTACCTATTTTAAATCATTTATATATATACTATTTATATATACTATTGATAATAAGAAGAGAGAATCATGGATATAAAACTATAAAATTCATATATTTAGCACACATAGTATGTATTTACGATAAATATTTGGTATATATATTTGAGTCAATTTAACTTATTGTTAGGTGTTACCGCATAAAAATATTTATATATTACATATATAAATAAATATAAAATTTATTAGTTTAGTATTTCGATAATTGAAAGAGAAAGAGAGAGAGAGAGAATTTGTGAAACTTTATGTAAATATAAATTGCGAATATAAGTATAATGAATTTCTTTTTAAATAATCGACCGAAAATTTTGGTTTTTTGATATACAATTTTTAAGAATACTCAAGTTTTTGATAATATTTTAATAATAAAAGTATTTTTTGACATTAAAAAATAATAGTTGAAAAATTTGATGATATATATTGTATTATGCATATAAGTGAAGCTATATTTTATGTATTAATTAATACAATTATTTTTTATGTTCTAACAGATTCAACAGAAATCCATCGAATGATCCTGTAGATCCTGTAGATCCTGCAAATCCTGTAGATCCTGTAGATCCTGTAGATCCTGTAAATCCTGTAAATCCTGTAGATCCTGTAGATCCTGTAGATCCTGTAAATCCTGTAGATCCTGTAGATCCTGTAGATTCTGATGTTACATCGAGCAACAATCCAGAGCCATCAGTAGAACGAGAAAGAGCAGCTCGCAAAAGTTGGATACAGGATTATTTTTCGATAAAAGACGACAGTTTAAATTCGACATGCGATATTTGTGGTATAAAAAAGGCCCATAAAAGGAATTATTTAGATATGAAAAAAATATATGGACATTTATCTACTATGCATACGAAAATTTATGAAAAAATTGAAAAGGAAAGAAGTAAAAAATGGGAATCGTTTTTTGAAAGAGTGCCATGCTCAACTGATAGTACAAGAAGCGTTAATATAAAATGCAAACTATGTGATCAAAATCCATATGATATAAAGCTTCGAATATACATGCGTTACGATATGGAAACACATTTAAAATACGAACATAATGTTACGGTAAATGAATGGAGAGATCTTAGAAACTGGCGAGACGCGAGCCTAACCGAAACGTATTATGACCTGATTGAGGAAGATAAATATCAAAAGATAGAATCGATCAAAAAAACACAAATGTGTAAGAAATGTAAACATCAGTTTCCACGTAGTAATCTATGCATCATGCTCAAGCATTTTATCCAAGCTCATCCATCCGACATTACCTTCGCACTCGTTTCACCTCCGAAAATATTTTTACCTTCGCATATACTACCAAACGGGTAAGAAAAACGGCAAAACTCAAATTTTATTAATTTACCTATTTTGAATCATTTATATATACTATTAAATGATAATAACAAAAGAGAATCATAAATATAAAACTATAAAATTCATATATTTAGCACATATAGTATTGTATTTACGATAAATATTTGATATATATATTTGGTATATATATTTGAGTCAATTTAACTTATTGTTAGGTGTTACCGCATAAAAATATCATTACATATATAAATAAATATAAAATTTATTAGTTTAGTATTTCGATAATTGAAAGAGAGAGAGAAAGAATTTGTAAAACTTTATGTAAATATAAATTGTGAATATAAGTATAAAGAATTTCTTTTTAAATAATCGACCGAAAATTTTGGTTTTTTGATATCAAATTTTTAAGAATACTCAAGTTTTTGATAATATTTTAATAATAAAAGTATTTTTTGACATTAAAAAATAATAGTTAAAAAATTTAGTGATATATAATTGAAGCTATATTTTATAGTATTAATTAATACAATTATTTTTTATGTTCTAACAGATTACTTAAATCGAATGAGATTGAAGCTATTGTAAATTCTGATGATGCAATGTCGAGGAGCAGCAGTCCATCAATATCTGGCCGATCTGATGTCCTGTCCAGTCTGATGGAAGATATTTATGACTTGTATACTGATTATTGGTCAACAAAAGATGTAGATGCTGCATCGACCATGAATCCACAGTCACCAACATCTAATCTTTCTGATAGCATCCTTCAAGAACTTATCAATGAACGCTGTGAAGAGCTACAATCATCATCTCACCATTCTGATGACCTCCTTCCGATGCAAGAACATGCCAGTTACAAGGAAACTGATAATTCACTAACAGAAGATGTAGATGCTGCATCGACCCTGAATCCACAGCCATCAACATCTTCTGGCCGTTCTAAAAGCAGCTCTGGAAAACCTTCCAGGAAACGCCGTAAAATCAGTGAAAATGCAAGCAGTGACGAAGATGATTAGTGATATTGCACGAAGCAACACCATAACATCGCTTCAACATCTACACACACAAGTTCGGCCTCGAGATTTGATTTCTGATTTTTTTAGTATCATTATATTGTAATCAAGACACTCGATGTTCTCCTGTTTATATTATTGAAAGTATTGAAAAACAATGAAAACAATGAAAAGAATTGTTAACATAATTCAAACCATTGACATCTGAATAGATAGACGGAACATTAGCTATCGATTAAGACGAGAAGGGCTTTAATCGCTGATAATCGCGGTAATGGGGAATTCTATGAACTTCAGTTGAATTAGGTTACTCCCGATAATGAACGGTTAATAATTCGACTCCAACTTCTTTCATTAACATCAAAGTTCTGCTCACATGCATTGTGCGAAGTTGTGTTGTGACTAATGTTATATTATTTTTATATTTATTATATTATTTTTAAATTTATATATATTATTTAATATATAACATATATATTAAATAATATTAATAAATAATATTAATAATATTAATAAATAATATTAATAATATTAATAAATAAATAAATATAAATAAATATAAATAAATATATAAATAAATATATAAATAAATATATAAATAAATATATAAATAAATATATAAATAAATATATAAATAAATATAAATAAATATAAATAAATATATATATATATATTTATTTATATTTTTATTAAATAATATATATAAGTAATATATATATATATATATATATATATATATATGTAAACATACATAAATATACATGTGTGTGTGTATATGTATATATATGTAGATATGTATACTTTATATATTATTTAATATTAGTATTGTCATATTATTTTTATATTTAACGACGTTAGCGATTTTCTCCAAATAAACACTCTTTAAACATTTCTGTGAAAATCTAGTTGAGAATCGATGATGTCAATGGAATCGCCATGTAATGTCAAACTGTGCTGAATAGTCGAACGCTCACGGAATTAATCGAAATTCATGCACTCCCCCTTTACTGCAATTATCAGTTACTTCTATCAAAAGGTTCCGTCTGTCTATTCAGATGTCAATGATTCAATCAGACTTATAAATCTTGAAGGAGATGATCAATATCGTAATATCGCTACACATCAATTAACCATCAGCAGTTAATTTAAACAAAATTCTGATTTTGATTAGATCATTGTTTTTGATAGCTTTCATGAGTTTGATTTGTTAAAACATTAAGAATAAGTGAGAGAATTAATGTGTTCTTGATGAATAATCATTTTTTTGTGCCATTATTTTATCTTTTAAATATAACATATTCATAATTGTATCCATTGTTTTTGATGAATATATAATTTATTAATCATCTATTTATCAAGCAAAGATTTCAAGTTTTTATATTGTTTTATATCGTTTATATCATTTATATTTATAATTTATTAGATATAGATACAAACACAAACACAAACACAAACACAAACACAAACACAAACACAAACACAAACACACACACACACACACACACACATACACATACACGCAAGCACGCACGCACGCATATATACACACGCGCGTGCGCGCTATACACATCATCATATATTATGACCTATTATTATTTCTAGAAGAATAGTTTTTTAAACGTATTGCATGAACAAATATATTTATAAATCAGTAGATTTTTGTATTCAATTTGTAGAAAATTGTATCAAAAGTGTAGTAAAAATAATGTAAAATTAATGTAAATATTTAAATTAAATGGTATTTTTGATAAGCATAATATTGTACCTTTTTAATTTATAATTATTCCAATACGCACTTAGAAGTTTATTACATATGTATAATATTCGATTAATATATTTATCTCTTCTTATCATTATAATGTTTTATGCTTTGATGGAACTAATTTCGCTAATTTCAAACTATTTTGCGGTTTTTAGTCATGTCTATTGTAATACTTACGATTGTGAAAATTTTTATGTAATATCTTTTTAATTGATGATTATTATCGGCATAAAATTAGCTAATAATTAGTTTAGTACTTAATTATAAAAATTAAAATACATTAGACAGATTTAGATAGAAGATTTAATGCTAAACTATGCATATCCATATTTACATTTATATACAAGATTATTCATTTTTAATCTTTTTTTTATTAACTTCTATAATCTTTATTATCAGTTTTAGTATTTATAGAGCACTTTATTCCCTTCGAAAGAAATAGACATTTAAAAAATACATAAAAGTTCATCATATGTTATTATATATTCATATATATAGTAATATCTCACAATAAAAAATTAGATATAACAATATGAGATAACATTAAATAATAATATTAAGATAATATATAATGCACTTTTGATGATAAAACATTTATATTGACAATATTTTTATATTTTATAGATATATTTCAAACGGGGAGAGGGGGGAGGGGGGAGGGAGGGAGGGAGGGAGGGAGAGAGAGAGAGAGAGAGAGAGAGAGAATGAGAGAGAGAATGAGAGAGATGCCGCTCTTGTTTCCCTCTTATCACTCTCATCCGCGCAGCCGCGGCGGAATCGTAACGAGATCAACGTTGATTGTTATTAAACGGAATTACTTGCGTGCGATGGTTGCGGGATTTGCGGCTTTGGCTGTTGATGCTCGAAAGCACCTTGAGAATGATATCACGGCGCGTTGTCGGACATAATCAGCATATGCGGTGCAGCATTCCTCTAGTTTTTCTTTTTCCCTTTTTTTTAAGAACGACATCGGAATAATCGGCATAACGGCGTAATATTTTCCGGAGATGCGCGACTTCACAATAAAATCGTATCTATACCACGCGTAACAAGCATGGCAATTTACTCGGAGATCATTCAGACTAAGTGACCAGTTATCGTACAGTTGCTAAATAATCGTCCATTGATAACACGCTGCATTGTGAAATCGTTTTCATAAATGAAAGCTATCAATCATATTATTAGGGAATATCTCGCGATGTTGTACACGGCACGTATTTACTTTGCTGGTTGCCTCGATTAGCCTCGTTTCTCGCTAATGACACGAATACCGCTTGAATTAATACTACTACGACGCGAGATAATCAGATGGATCCGGAATGGAAGAATGGAGGAATGTCGTGACTTTTCATCTATCAATCTAAAATTCGTTGCGCAATAAGACGAGCTACTTGAGAAGCGACTCATCCGTGGGAAAAGAGAGGAACCCGTACTTCCGCACGGGAGAGAATGCCGATAGACGACACGAAATTGCCACTCGTTGTGATTGCGACGTGGCCTACATCGAGATTATGCTCTTCGCGAAATCGCCACCGTCTCATCTCGTCGACATTCGGCAACGAGAGAGCTCCTCCTTTTCATCTCCACCGTCCATTAGAGAGAGCGTCTCCTCCTTTTCCCGTCCGTGACGTACGGGACGTACTTGTTCGAAGTATCGAAAAAATACGTAGCGAGTAACGTTCCTTCTCCGTGTCCCTTGGCTCGATTCCCTTCTTCTTCTGTCATTCGCCCGGCAAACATCGCCCGGTCGTTGTCCCGAGTCTAGGACAGCCGGCGCCCGACGTCCGCCGGCGTCTGGCGTCGCGGCGCCCGCTTTTCCTCCCACCCCCCTTTCGCGATCCGGTCCAGCCACCGCGTTGCATCCGCGGAAAACACGATCGTTGTGTTTGCGAGAATACTGGCGTCGCGACGTCTGGTCGGCGAGCGACGAGAGACGCCAAGATAAGAGATATGATACGAGAAATGAGGAGTAAATACAGGGTGTTCGGTAAGTATCAAACTTGTTAAATAGGTAATAATTATCCAAGTAAACTAAATCGCTGATGGATCGATAATGGATCGCATTTCTGACGTAATTGACGGAGAACTTAATAATTGAGTGATTATTAAGTTAAAAGCTTATGTATCCATCCCAACGAAGGGATAAGAAATAAAAGAGGACTAAACTTTGCTCCTCTCTCTTAGTGCGTGCCTGTGCCTTCACGAAAACCGTTATAAAAATGTTAATTAATAAATATTATCTTGTTTTATTGAGTTTTTATTGACGAGAGTTTTTTATGAAACGGCAACAAGTGGCAATATTAACATCGTGGTGTCGCAATTTTAAAATCTATTACGTAGTGAGAATATTATAAATGCTGCCAATAACCTTGAAATTTAATAGCGTACGTTCCAACTTTCGAGAATCAACTTTGACAATCAATTATACTGCAAATATAGCCAGTAGCAGGTGTTCAGATGAAGATAAGATAATTCTCGTTCCGTTTCGCGAGAATTTATGCATCAGACGTGACAGACAGTCAATTATGCACGCCCGATTTCTGCACGTGTGTCAAGACAGCGCGAAGAGTGCTTAACGCAGACAGGTCAAACACGCGTATTCTTTAATTTTTCTTTTTTCTTCGGTTCGAACAAAAACTCTCCATCAATGCCCCGTGCAAACTTGAGAAGGAAAAAAAACCACAAAAAAAACACAACTTTATTCGCGTAGATAACATTCCTGAAGACACATCTCGAATCGAGAGAACGTTCCTCTCGCGAGCGTTCAGAAAAAGAGATCAACCCTTTTAGCCCAAATATTTTTTGCCGGTCTCGTCGCTTCATCTCGGCGCTCTAATGAGCGCCATTACCTTAATTGCCATTGAAAGATCGCGCGCGCATTAAAAAAAAAAAATCTTCGTCGGAACACGAATTATGCGTCCTTCTATTCGCAGGTGAATTTCGAGAGAGTCATTTTCAAAACGAAATACACATACATCTGTCTGTTTCGATACAATTTTCTCTGCGCTCGCGATTTTCTATTCCTATGGAAAGAAATTTTATAGAGAGAAAGTGAAAGAAAGAGAGAGAGAGAGAGAGAGAGAGAGAGAGAGGAAGAGAGAGAGAGAGAGAGAGAGAGAGAGAGAGAGGGAGGGAGGGAGAGAGAGACAGGGAGGAAGAGAGAGAGGGGCATAGATATTTATATGTATTAGCTTCGTCAGAAGTCACGGCCATCGCATTAAAACCCGCTCGCCCTTTCCCCGTCGATATCCGGCAGGTTCCACGACTTACCTCTCCTCTCGATTTACCTGTAGCACATTCCACGCCGTTCTCATTGCCGTCTCGCGATAACTTAACGAGTAGATCGGGTTCACAGTCGACGCTTGAAGGGTTAACGGCCATGCGAGGATCGCTCGTTTCTGTTCTCCTTTACGTAAATGAGAAAAAAGAGAGAGATACAGAGAAAGAGAGAGAGAAAGAGAGAAAGAGAAAGGGCGAACTACAAAGTTTTATATATCCGTTCCCTCGGGTTTCAACGCTTAATCTTAATTCGCTCGTTGTCGATGGCGACGAGAC